TCTGTAAGGGCTTCTTTGGATCATTTCTGCAAGTCAGAAATGATACATTTCAGCTCAGAGGCACTGGAGTGTTCTGAAACCTCACATTACCTACTACCTAGATAGCTGCAGGCAGAACTCTTGCTTCTTTCCATGGGTATTTGGCACAGGCTTCAAAAACTGTGCATCACTGCTTAGTTGCAGAACATATATGAGGGAGTGGAAAAGTGGCCCCCAACTGTCCAAAAGGTATTACTTTCAACTCTCCAAAATCCCATAGTTTTCTTGAGGTATTTCCTTACTCATTAGGACTGTATAGAAAACCTCAGAAGTACTGCCCTGTTGCAGCTCTGCTCTTCTGCCATCTAATAGGGAAGGAAGGAAATGGATAATAATATCAAGTGGAGAAAGTCAGTCATACAGAGCATTATGCACAGTCACCGTTGGAGGAGTGAACAACTCTCAAACCAGTTGAAATCAGATTACTCAGATATTATTCCCTTGCAGAACAAAGTGAGCATGGTTGTAAATCTTACTTACGTCTCCATAAGAATAATGAAGATAGTCCTGTCCTATCTGAGAACTATTCAAAAGGAAGAAAAAATGTATTTCAGGCAAGAATAAGTGGAAGATTGATGTCTAGGACTAAATTAAAAAAGAAGAGGACCAACATAAAATTAATTTCCATAAGAATTTCAAAATTGTTAATTTTTTTCATAGCTTGTAGTTTACTCCTTCTTCCACCTTGGTGAACACCAGGTTCATCTTAGGAAAGACACTACTGCTGTGTATGGAGAAAAGACTCCGAAGGACTTTATGAGTTCTATAAAATGGACTTTGAGCTTTCTTCTACTGCATTATTAGCATACACAGATGATTCCTTCTCAGATCTTACAGTCCTGACCATCATTCATCCCCTTCCATATCTGCAGTGAGAAATGCCGTAGAGCTCTGAAGTGGAGATTCTGGGTGAAGCTACAAAATACCGAGTTCACCATGACTTATTTGTATGATGTGACCGGTTGGCAAGACCTCTAATACCAGAAGTGAACACAGCGTGTCTCCAGTTTATGAAGATGGATATGATCTCAAGGAAGCAATGGATTGCGTCTAACCAACATGTATCTACAAACTCAGCAGTAATAGAAAATTTGAGAATTTTAATGGAGCTGCATATGTCAAGAGGTCCAAAACAGCTTTGCCTCTTCAGGTTCAAAAATGCCAGAAATTATCTTACTGATGCCATCCAGAAGAACAGCTTGTTCCTTCATCTTGAATTCAAGCTTTGTGGCTCAGAAACATGACCCTGCCAAAAGAAGACCGAAGGACTTTACCTCTGCTTGTGCTGTTACCAATTCAGGCAAATGCACTGAAAAATCAGAGTAGTTGTTCTTCTAGAATTCTGAGATCCCTCTGTCCTGCCTCCTTATCATCTTTTCAGAGTGACCTTGGAAAATGAGATGGCATAGCAAATTTATCATCTTCAAGGCATCATTCTAATTCCAGTTGTTAATAATTATTGTTCAACATTTTCAAAATACGAAAAAGGAACAGGACACTTTCTCCTAGAATGCAGCTTGGCAAATTTGAAGCTGATTATTTGCAAAGCGAATTTCTTTTCGGAGGGTCATTCAAGAAATTACCAGAGTCCTTTTTCTCTCTCTTGACCTTAAGGCACATCATTGGTACTTATATTCCTGAAATTTGAAGGCAACAACCACTTCAGAGCCTTTTGGTCTTTCCTTCATTACTTGAGATTTTAGAATACCAGTGTCTAATTGTGATTAGCTACTCCGATTCATTCATACTTACCTTGTCTTGGGTCACATACTAGTCAGAAGATAATGAGAAGATGCAGGTATGAAGACAACTGGCCAGGTTCTTTAAGAAAGACAAATTAAATTGAATACCAAAGCAGGTTCTTAGTTAAATTTCTAGAGTTCATTTTTTCCTTTGACAGGATACATCTTTTCTGTGTGCTGTGGAGTTCAGAAGCAGTGTCAAGGTGATCCCCAGTACAGGAAGTTGTAACTTTCACCTGGAAATCTCCATAATACTCGAGCAAGAAGACATTTCTAATCAGTTCAGGAATGATGCTAGTAACGTGCATCAGTTTATCATGAGTTCAGGGCAAATGCCAGGGAAAAGCATCAAAGCCATCATTTTCTGGAATTAATACCAGTGTGTTATGCTGTCTTCTTCCAAGAATGCCACAGGAACTTGTGACCATTACACGTAAAAAACATAAGAGAATGCCAGTGAAATTTTGTCGTCTACATGCAACTTCAAGCATGCATGGTAGATATGCTCTGTTTTGTGTTTAATTTATTTAATTATTAAATTGACAGTACTAGTTTCTCTTTTCCCTTCTTTTTCTCTGATGACCAAGATGACTACAACTGTTAGTAGGAGATCAGCAACCATAATCTTAACTACTTCTTAGTGAACCAGGCTTCATGTATTTTTCCCTGGGAAATGAGAAATCCTTCAGTTATTCATCTATGACAGCTTTTAGGTGAAAAGCCCTTGAGTCTTCCTTTTCCCTGGTTCTATTAAGACTTGAGACAGGGATTTTTCTGAAATCCTCCAAATCTGCCACCTTTCTTCTGTTTCTCATGTGTATTAGAGTGATGGCGTGATGGGTACTCATGCTGGAGAAAGTTAAAATTAGATTCCCTTAAAATAATTTTATATTCTCTGAATGAGTACCCACTACTCTGTCAGCACCCACTACTTTGGCTAAAATTTCTCCAAGCATGGGAAAGTCTTTTCTTCATGTGGAGATTCTAAATGGATGGAAAGAGAGAGGAAAATGACCAAAGGGTTTCAAGTTGATGACTGATTCATTGTTTTTAAACATTTTTTTTTCCTGCCTGGATATTGCTCTGCTGTTTTCTAACTTGTTTTTTAGTTGTCTTATATTCCCTCAGCTGTGGCAGTATTCGTGGACCCAAATGTGAGTGCACTACCTCAAAATGCCAGCAGTGGAAGCTGGTAAGCAAGTGGGGAAAAATCACCAGAGGAATCTCTGAAGCTTGGGACAAAGGCAGAAAACACATCAGTACTGCACTAACAGAGCAGCAGGTACCCTCATAGAGAAGATAAAATTACAGGTAAGGAAATAATTTACGTTTCTATTTTGGTCTCATCCAAATGGCTTTTTACTCTCCGTTCAAAATCCCAGAAAAAATAACACACCATAAACTTCTGAAGAAGAAAAAGATATCAAATGTGATGAATTTAGACTACCTGATTTTTTTGTGGGGATAATTTGAAGTTCAATCTTACCCAATTTCTGGAAAAAATATATTAAAAGATGAAAATCCGTTATACCTGTCAGGCAATTTAAAACCTCAACCTAGTTTTAAAACAAGGCTGGGTTGGTTTTTTGGTTGTTTTTTTTTTTTTGTTTTTAGAATATTAAACACAGGAAACAGCTTATTACAGGTTTTCCTTTCCAATCAAGAACAACAGTAGTCTTTCCTTTAGGTAGGTGAGGTCAGATAAAGCCAAAGACAGAAGGACTCTGTTCCCATCCCTCCTTCTCCATTTACTTTCTCACAGTTTGAAGGGTAGCATGACTCTTCATTATGCTTCAGTTTCCTCATCTGTAAAAAGGAAGGAGGTTGTTTTTATCTCCCACTTGAGATGAATAGATGGAATAAGTGGTGTAAAAGAGAAGAAAATTACATTATTTAATTAATTGTCTTGCAGTCTTTTATGCCGCCATGCTGCAGTCCCACTATGGAGTTGTGATCGCCACAAAAACCTCAAGAGGATATATCCTTGTCTGTATTGCTACAGTTATTATCTGTTACAGAAAGTAAAATAAGGTTTATGTTTAAGTTTTCTTTTAATATAAAACTGTTGTCTGTAAATGAAAAATTTTGTGAAGTTAAAACAATTCTACCATAAACCTAATTTCTGTGCTGAGTTGTAGAAACATTGAGAAAATTTAGGTATGTGCATTGTAGTGGCATTACATTTTGGAAGAGAGTAATAATGAAGTACATTCAAAAGACTAATGAATTAGATTTAGCCTTGACATAACTCTCATATCTTCATCAGGTATACACGATGAGAATTGTCCTAGTGAGTTGTATCAATTAAGTTTATTTTGTAAACTATCAAGTTCAAGGAAATAAGAATACAGAGCCATATTAATTTGTTTCATAGTCTTTAAATCTGTAGAGATCTTATTAAAGCAACAAGTTATCAAAGTATGAGTTTAATCTTGTAATGTATGTTTCTAATGATCTGCAGCATGACATTTAGGTTAAAAAACCTAAATTAAAAAAAAGGAAAATAATATTTTTGTAAGCATTATTTAAAGAAATTTAGGTGATCTTTTGAGGTGTTGTGCAACCCTTTTAGGAAACAATCATTATCAGCAGGTCCAAAAACTACCTCAAATATCTAGACAAGTTACTGGCTGTTTGAATTGAATCTTGTCTTTTGAAATGTGCCATCTGTTATTTTATGGTGTTTCCTGTAACCTACTGACCATAGAAATTACTGTAAGTAGAGTTCTCAGAATGCTCACATTTTTCAAACTTTAAACTTCCTTTTTTTTCGGTTTTTTTTTACTTTAAACATATGGGAAGAACACACTCAAATCTTTCATTTAGAAGGAATTGTATTCTGACTTCATGGCTCTTTTCTGTACCACAGGTCTATCCATGGACTTATTTTCAAAGAACTTTTCAATTACTGTTTTATTATAGTTAAAGATTACTGATATACTTGCAAAAATTATGTTATCAGTTTCTATTGTTTTTTGGTGACAAATCAATGAGTTTGAGTATGTTTAAACCTTTTCCTTGGGGATTACTGTTATTGCTTGGGGGTGCTTTTGAGACCATGCTCTTTTGCTAAGAGAAGTTGCTCTGATTCTGAAATATGTTTTTTCCTGTCATTTTTTACTTTTCCTTGTAAGTTAAAGAAAATTCCAACTATCCCAGTTTTGTTTTCTGTAACTAATTCCATAACAGTGTAGTACTTGACATGTGTTTGTTTCTTAGGCAAACGTGTAAAACTCCTCAAGTCCGAATGGAGAAGTAGAGAAAGGAGGTTTCTGCTGTGCCTGATGACAATTTTTGATTTTTCCACACACACAAAATATTCTGGCTCCACGTTGGAGCACTAGTTGTGATGAATCCTAATCTTGGTCGGATTCTAAGGAAGGGCCAGAACGTTCGCTGAGGAATAAAGAGTCAAACCACTCCAGAAAATGTGTTCCAGCCCTGGTTTATTGCTCACAGAGCAGCAGGTGTGTACAAATACAGGTTTACACAGTATTAACAGGAATTGTTGTAGCTTACTCCTCATTGTAGTTGCTTAGTTTGCTGCAGATGCCCAGGAATCGTGGCTTATTTGGGCAGAGCTTCAGGAGGGTGGTTGGAGAGACTCTGCATTGCGCTCCTAAGCAGCCTCAGTGTGTCAGTCAGATGCTTCTGGGAGCCTTTAAACGTCTTTCTTCACTCACTCTCCTTTCAAAGGTAGACCCAATCGATAAACTTAAGTACTCACTATTATGGGAAAGCAACAGGTGCTCTGGAGAAGAGAACAGCGCTTATAAAGGAAGCACGTCTTAGTACATTCAGTTAGGTGTCACTTTGTCGTTGAAAGCTCAGCATCCCATACTGGATTAATTACAATTCAGAAAAGATAGCTTGATGATTCTTGCAGCTATATTCCTAAGATATGGTAGATGTTGTCTGTTTAGTCTTAAAACCATGTTTAAGATGAAGAACTCTGCCATTTTCAGGAACGTATGCCATGCTCTAAAGTATTTTTCCTTTACCTATTTTTCTAGTCCTAACTTTAAGATTATTTGGAACAAGTGGAAATCTCAATTTACTTGTGAAAGATTTCCAAACCCTTTTAGTTTTAATTATGGTTTTTAATACTGGTTGTCTAGGTCTTCATTTTAACATCAACAATCTCCTGCTAAAATCATTAAGAGCAGTGGGAAAATTTGAAATACAGAATTATACTTCAAATGGCATTGTGTGCAATGAGTTTTCAACATGTTTGTTTCTTTCTAATGGAAGGTCCTAAGCACAAGAATTATCACAAATGCAATTCTGACTAGTCACAGTGCAATAAAAGTATGAAAGAATTAAAAGCTTTAGAGTCCGGTAGTTATCAAAGACATTGGAAACTTTTGAGCCATTTAAGTGTACTGGAAAATGTTTTATTTAATTAATAAAATGAATTAGAGATGTTTGCCAAAGGTCACACCTGAGGATCTAGAATTCTAAATGGCTCTATTACAGGCTTGGGAACTTGTTTAGACTAACACTTTTCATACTGCAGTGCCTGAAATAAAGTTAAGGGAAAAATTTAAAGCTCTTGAGTCTTGATATCAAAAGTTATGTAGCGCCA